CTTCTACAGCCTCTGGTAATACTAGTTTAAAAAAAAAAAAAAAAAAAAAGGAAAGGGGAAAATTCGCTTACCTACGTATCAAGATGAACTCGGAAAATTAGACTAACAACTGAAAATTCAACGCAGGGATCATCATAGGGGGCTACAATAAAAACGATTATTGCACAGCTGAACTCCATAAATGTCCCACTTTGGGCTCCAGACTGCAAAAGCCGCGCGCTCTGGTGGGTCAATCGCGGAAAATTCGTTGAAAGCCGAGTATTATTGACGAAGTAGATATTAACTATTATTATATTTGGAAAGGACAGATTCATCGGCTTCGATCTATAGAAGCAGACTCTTATCACTGGGTAGTTACTGTGGTCTGATCTAACTCTTGAGTGGTGGTTCTTGAAGCCGTGCGATCTGAATCCATAGGATAGATTATTATGATGTGCCTACGGTGGAGCTCACTTCCCATGGACAGCAATAAAGTCTAGAACATAACCATTATATTACCTTAAACACGGTACTGCCACGAGGGAAGAGGTTACTCTGACTACAGGAAAGGTAGATATCCCTTGAGTAACAACTACACCCAAGTTCTCCCAAATAAACTACTCCCTTACGACAGACTATCACCGGTCTTTTCTCCCGCATCATTTTTTGGGATATTATTGAAGGGATCAAGCCCTTGACAATCCTTCCTTAACGCAAGGACTTACACACGTCTCTATCTATTTCTCTCCTGTTCGTTTTGTTGTAGCTTTCCTGTTTATGGCAGTAATCCATGTCAACATCATTTTATCCGAGTCCTAGATACACAAACACACTCTATAACTCCGTGGCAGCCATATACCAGTAGGCCATCAATGCAATAAGGGGCGCTGATCCAATACAAACAGTCCTGCTGTAGTGATAAAGGTGAAGGGACATTTCAAGGCCATGCACTAGGCCGCAGCGGCGGTGTTGACTCGCGATCTGGATGGCTCCTGCGCTGATCGTGCTGGTTCAATGGGCTCCTGAGGTAGCAGCTCGATTTGACGCACTAAGAAACTCTTCTCGTCCGTGAACTGGTCGTCATCCGTGCGATCCATTAAGAATTTAGGCAAGAATTTTAACAAACGGTCCCGATTGTTGATGAGAATCCGTTGCACCGCGACCGATTTGTTAGGATTTGCGACGAATACCTATGCCACATTCCTCATCAGCAAATCGTCGACTTGCCGCCCATCGTTCGCGCCGAAGAAATAGAGAATCATACCTTGAAAACGTGGAACCCCTCGTACTGAATCATTTTGCGATCATCTTTGAGCAATTGCATGCAGAGTTTCAGATTCTCCCCGCTCTCCACATATGCCATCATCACGCTGTAATTGGCTCGATCCAACAGGATCTCACCGAGAAGCTTTATACTCTGGCGCTTGGTAACATAGGAACTCGACTGGATGAGTGCATTGAAGCGCGAAAAGAAGAGATTAAAGTTAGTGGTGAGGTACGAGGTCACAAGACTCTTGTGACGAGTGAGAATATCCTATGCCACGGTTACTCCTGATGCCTACTTCAATCATACCAGGCGTTGCTTACCCTGAAAGTTGTAAAGGAATCGGCACTCACTTCGAAGCTGCTCTTGTCGATCCAATGGAAAAATCTCCAAAAGATGCCATTGCCTTTCTGGGGAATATCGGGTTTGACTTGTGACAATCTGATCGCGGGTTGACCCTCGATAGTCTGGTCGTATAGGATGATGGCCGCACACACGTCGAATTTGAGTGCTTCTCTCAGGATGGCGCCACAGGGCATTGTGCTCTCGGGCGATTCGTATCCCCGACAGAGCTCGACAATGATCTCAGGACGGTTGTGTACAATATAAGAAATGACTGGGGGGTCGCCATTGTTGGCCTGGGCGGGTCGAAAACGAAGGATCTGAGAGAATATGGTTTGCGTATCTTTTCTGGCTTGAAAGGGAAGATGACGGAGGTTGCGGGCAAGTTCGTATAGCAGATCTTCGTGGACAGTGGCTTGAACCAGAGCATGTACTTGTTCCGGAGTCGTCTCAGTCTCTAAAGCAGTTTGCAGTCAGCATAATGGCGTTACTCTTTCCTAGAATGAACCGGTGAGGCGAGACAATGGTGCACGCTCACTACACTAACCTTGAGTACCTTGGACGATCACTTTCATTTGCGCAAGTTGCTTCGCCAGGTCATCTTCGACCTGTATGGAGTTGTTAGTAAGCTGCATAATCGTACAATATGTGGCATAAACAAGCAGAGGGAACCTCTGAGACTGACCTTGGCAGCTGCCGGAGCTTCTCCTAGTCTTAACAATAGCTCCTTGATTGTTCGGACGACGTCAGAAGGAGGTCGTTGTCGATTCCGCCAGAGGAAAGCCATTTCCGTTGATATAACTAATGTAATATGTATCGGATAGGAAAGTTTGATGTAGAAGAAACAAAGAAAGGATCGGAGACACTGAGCTATTCAGTACATGTGAAAGATGGAGGGCAAGCAATTGATCCCTAGCAGAAGCAGGGTAACATGAACACTTGATCTGTCTCGACTGAAGGGAGCAGTGAGCCTGTACAAGGAGAAGAGAGATAGAGAAGAAGGAGATGGTGGTGGTGATGACGATGATGCTGATGATAATGAGGTTCGTCTCAGCTCCCACTTGTTATCTGCCCTATCGGTCTGAGGGGGACGAGCTGTTGTCAGGCGGAGAGCCGATAAACAAAGTACCCAGCCAGCATCGGGCGGGGCAACCAGCGGGTTCTGTTGTGATAACTCAATTTTTTTTTTTCCTTTTTACCGATTCTGGTCCCCTCAATCGCTTGAACCCCTCCATCCATATATTTACATGGTCCATTGGTCGCCACAATCCCGTCCAAAATCAAGAATTTTAGAAAATAGGAGTGCAGAAATTTGAATTGCCGTTGTCCAGACTTGAATTGAGTCAATGTCTGCAACAATCCCCTCGGACCGTCCCTTGAGGGACCAAGATGCCCTCTCGACCGCCTCCTCAGACGATTCGGATATGAGCAACGAAGAGGGATGGGAAGATGTTGAGCCTGATGACGAGACACAGCCAGTAATTGGCCTGTTTTCCGATAAGGTCTACCCCGATGTACAGTCGATGCTGCAGGAGTCTAAAGACAAGCATGGCTTTGACTTGCGGAAGATTCGAAAGGATCTTGGTGTGTAATATCCATTGTTGGGCGCTCTGTCCTCGTTATTGTTCTGATACTCCCAATATGGGCACGATCATGATTGTTTGCGAGAAATCCTAGCTAACTTGTTACGTTCCACATCAGACTTGGATTTTCTTGGCACTATCAAATTAGTCAATTATGTTCGGTCTCAAGTCAAAGCTGGGAACACAACCCCGGATGTCTCCTCGAAAGATAACTTTGAGGACGAGGCTTACTTAAAGCCGGTTCTCGAAGATGACGCCCTTTTGTATAGCTTGGACGATATCGAAGACGAAGAATCCGCGACAGCCGGTACCACTGTGGCAGAGCGCCGCGTGATCGAGCTGCAGGAGGACCTTGAACGCCTCCAGAGCCAGTTCACTGAGTATAGAATGGCTGTGCAAAAGTCAATGGAAGAGCAGTTGTCCAAGGAAGATGAGAAATTGGGGTCATCGCCCAGCGGCCCGTCCGGCAAGAAGATGAGCAAGGTTGAGGAGGCAGACGCAGATTACTTCGTCTCCTACTCGTACAATGGTCAGTTCTCCACTGGTCGTCGAGCCCGGATATGCCTTTTGCGCTGACGGTTATATTTTTTGAAGCCATTCACGAGTCCATGCTGAAGGACACTGTTCGTACTGACTCCTATCGCGATTTCATTTACGACAACAAGCATCTCTTCAAGGACAAGGTTGTCTTAGATGTCGGGTGTGGAACTGGCATTCTCTCCATGTTCTGCGCGAAAGCAGGTGCCAAGAAGGTCATCTCAGTCGACAATTCCAATATCATTGACAGAGCCAAGGAAATCATCTACGAAAACGGGTTTGGCGACGTGATCACGTACGTATTTTTACTTCCCGTGAGATATTTGTCTACCGGAATCTAACATTGGATCAGATGCATTCGTGGCAAAATTGAAGAAGTCACTCTGCCTGTTCCCCAGGTCGACATTATCGTCTCCGAATGGATGGGCTACTGCCTTCTATTCGAGGCCATGTTCGATTCGGTCATTTACGCCAGAGACCGGTATCTCGCTCCAGGAGGTCTGATGGTACCCTCAGACGCCACCCTACGTATTGCGCCGTTCGCCGATTCCGAGTTCATCTCGTCGCACATCTCATTCTGGGACAATGTGTACGGCTTCAAGATGGGCAGCATGCGCAAGAACATCTACGACGACGCTCTTGTTCGTAGCGTACAGCCTGCGGCGATTCCTGGTGATTCCGACATCTTCCTAGAACTGCCGTTGCACACCATCACCGTGGAGGAGCTCTCGTTCCTGAAGGAGTTTCAGGTTACTCTGAAGGAGGATATCGATGCGCTTGACGGTTTCGCTATCTGGTTTGATATTTTCTTCATGCCCTCTAGGGATTTTACTATCCCGAAGAACGCCGTTCCTCCAGAAATGCAGAAAAAGGGTTTCGTCGCCTTCACTACAGGCCCTGACGGACCGGAGACGCATTGGCAACAGGGTGTTCTCCTGATCGATCGCGAGAGAAAGAAGGGAGTCGCCCTAAAGAAGGGCCAGACCATCGCCGGCAAGGTCGGTTATCAGAAGAGAGAAGAAGGGTCGCGTTCGCTGGACATCACCATCGAGTGGGACACTCAAGCGGGCGAGCAGGGGAACCAAAAATGGGTGCTCCAATGATTTATGACGCTTGATCAAAAGTTCGTCTATTATTGTAATTCATGATTCGTACTTGGTTGGCACCAACATACCGCTCAAAATAGAGAAACGCTCAATTTCGAAAACAAATGCACATCTCATGAAGCAACCATGGTTGGCTCTGCCATCCGTAGCTATGTAGGGGTCAACCCTTGTAATCAGTATAAGTATTGTTCACATCAAGACCAAGCTTCCATAATGAAAGGTGTCACGCATGGCGTTTGTGCGACTGCGCCTCGCGAGCTTCCCCTCGGTCTTGGTCATGGTGATCACGATGACGGTGCGAATGGGAGTGCGAATGGGAGTGGCGGTGTCGCCTGTGGGAATGATCGCGAGAACGATCGCGACTTCTTTCGCGGCGATACGAGCGATGTCGGTGCGAGCTCCTCGATTTCTTGTCCTGATGTTTGTCAGGTGCGTCAAGGCGGAAGTTTTCAAGGCTATCCCCAGAGTCTGACGCTTTTGACCTTGACATTGATCTCCTTCTGCGATGACGCGACTCTTTCAGTGTATCTAATTCCCTCTTTCTCTCCTGGTTCCACTTTTTCCGTTCAAGCTCGACCGACTTCAACTGGCGAACTCCCCTCTTTATCGCCGCAAGTGGATCGTTGGCATCTAGCCGGGCTCTCTCCCTCTCCTGTCTCATCGGATCCTCATTGCCCCAAACATCCTTTTCGGGCATAGCATCAGGCGCCAAAACATCACGACTGGAGGAAGAGTACCAAGGCATTTGGCCAGCGGGCTGTCGATACCCCGCCGCATTCGAGAAGCGCATCGTATATTGGTCCTCATAACTCCGGTTCTTGTCAGCCGCCTCCTTCTCTGCCTCTTGATTTTTTTCTGCTGGTTTCCGCGTTGCCTCGGAAGGAAATAAATTGATATGCCCTGTACTGTCTAAAAGTGGCGCATCGCTGGTCTTGGACACAGCGAGCTCCTCCCTTTTCGCCAGCATCAACTGAGCATCTTCCCTCGCGAGTCTGATATCGCGATCCGTATCATTTTCACCTGCCAGCCGTCTCCGCTTTCTATATCTTCCAGCATCCTCTCCATGAGTCCTGTCGCGTCGGGTATCTGATGGAGCAGACGGCGGGGGTGGTGGGGTAGAGGGCCGTTCGCCACGGAGAATTTGGATTCTGCGCTCAGCATCAATTTCCTGCATACGACGTTCCTCTTCCTCCTCCCGGGCCTTGGCCTCAGCTTCATCACGCCGTACACGGGCGATGTTCTCGGGGTTGTAGACGTTCCATGACTTCTTGCCGAGTAGGTGACTGCTCAATGCATAAGTATGCGCGATAGATTTACATAAAAACAAATTCAATGAACTTACAGAGGCATGGTGTATCGAGTAGTCTGCGAGCGACCTGGTCACGCAGCATCAACCCAAGCGAACTACCTGGACACGACTGGAGAGTCAACGAGTTGCCGGAGATCTCCCCAAGGCGATAAGGGTGGATCCTCATTAGCTTAAGCCACACCGATCGGCCAAACGGAGCTTCACGGGCCGATGTGGCTAATTAGGAGCTCCAGCAAGAGAGTAACTCTGCCTCAGGTATCTACCTAGGTACTCCGGACTAGTCTCCATCTTCCTAAGGTAGATACCCCCGCCACGTTATACCCACGTCTCTTATGGAGTAATCTCCTTCAGTTTATCAAGTCTCATACTTCTTCTCTCCCTGATTAGTCTTTTCAATACACACATCATCTCCGGTTCCTAGCAACACTCATACATTCCTTCTCACATACACAGGTTATCTCGCCGCAAGCTTCGATAAGCTACTCCGGCTCCTATACCACACTTGCGTCTCATCGTCCACCGCGCCCGTCAACAACAGGGTCGCAGCCATCGCCTAATCGAATCGTTCTCGAATGCCCCACCTTTGTTAGAATCAACATGTTCAATCGCAACAACTATCCATCTGTACCGAATCCTTTCTCAGGTCGCCCCTCCTCTAGAGGCAATGCGAGTCCTGGTCAAGGTCCCCCACCTCCCCGAAGAGATGGGTATGATACTGGTCATTCGCCGATGAGTGGCGCAGGGTATGAACGATCGCCGCATCAGTTTGATCACGATGTCCAGATGACTGATGCGTATAATCAATCAAGGGGTTATGGAACTCCGCCGCCCAGGCCAGGTTACTCGCAGACACCTCCAAGAAACCCAGTAGGAGGCAGGGCGCCCGGTGCATCAGCCCAGGTATGGACGCTACGGCCTGCGAAGAGCCCTGACAACTCGTATACGTTTGGGAACCTGTAAGTTTTGTGCCTGTGAAGTTCGGATTCTAAAATTACATAGCTAATAACAAGCAGTGTTGCCGTCTCAACACAGGACTTCCCGCCTTCACGCGACGGACTTGATCTTTTACTCCTTGTGAACGATCTCTATGTCTTTTCTGCTCGTCCTCTCGATGGTTTCCCTCCTGGACATATCAGCATGTCGGATCCCCAGCGGACATGGGCGGGCGTTGCTTTCACAGATTCAGTCAAGGCTCAGATATACGATCCGTTCAGTCAGGGCGGACAAGCCTATCTCGGATCGACAGATATTGAAGTCGGCTTTGCTGGGAAAAAGAGGGTCGAGACTCCGTACGACCAAGATGAGTTAGCGAACGCCGTGATCAAGGTATATACTCGTTTGGATCGATGACGTTTGCACAGTACTTACCTTCTCTAGAACTTTGAGAACCAGATCTTCTCTCCTGGTCAGAAGATTTTGATGGATCATAAGAGCATACCGCTGCTCCTGACTGTCAAGACCGTTCAGCGGGTCGATCTTACATCGGAGAAAGCTGGGGCTGCTGCTGGAAGCACAGAGACGGACCCCACCGCGAGAGGAATCTTGACAAGGCACACCCAGGTTACTTTCTTCAAGGATGCCCGCACCGGTATCAACTTGAAGCCATCGAATCGTCGCCCCGCCGCAAATTCTATCATCACACCCGACTTCAAGTTCGAAGATATGGGAATCGGAGGTCTTGACGCGGAGTTCAGCACAATCTTCCGTCGTGCGTTTGCATCGCGTATCTTCCCTCCTGGATTGGTCGAAAAGCTTGGTATTCAGCATGTGAAGGGTATTTTGCTATACGGCCCTCCCGGAACGGGTAAGACCTTGATCGCACGGCAGATTGGAAAGATGTTGAACGCGAGGGAGCCCAAGGTCATCAACGGTCCAGAAGTGCTGAACAAGTTTGTCGGCCAGTCGGAGGAGAACATCCGAAAGCTGTTTGCCGATGCAGAAAAAGAGTATAAGGAAAAGGGCGAGGAGAGTGGGCTTCACATCATTATCTTCGACGAGTTGGATGCTGTGTGTAAGCAACGTGGCAGCGGAGCAGGTGGTGGCACAGGCGTTGGGGACAGTGTGGTCAACCAGCTGCTGTCGAAACTCGACGGTGTTGACCAACTGAACAATATCCTCCTGATTGGTATGACCAACAGAAAGGACATGATCGACGAAGCTTTGTTGCGACCGGGTCGTCTCGAAGTGCACATGGAGATTTCTCTTCCGGATGAGAATGGACGGGCCCAGATTCTGAAAATCCACACCCAGAAGATGAGGGAAAACAATGTTATGGATCCAGACGTTGACCTCGCTGAGCTCGCGCTCCTTACTAAGAACTTCTCGGGCGCTGAAATTGCTGGCCTTGTCAAGTCGGCGTCTTCGTTTGCTTTTACCCGCCATGTCAAGGTCGGTACCATGGCCGGCATCAGCGAGGATGTCGTAAACATGAAGGTCAACAGAGCCGATTTCCACCATGCGCTGGAGGAAGTCCAACCTGCTTTTGGTGTGTCAGAGGAACAGCTCTCGAGCCGTATCCAATACGGCATCATCCATTACTCCCCTACAATCAACGAAATTCTGAAAGAAGGAGAGCTTTTCGTCAAGCAAGTCAGCAATGCTGAATCCTCGCCTCTCTTTTCGGTTCTTTTGCATGGTCCCACCGCTAGTGGAAAGACTGCTCTGGCCGCTCGAATTGCGATTGATTCAGGTTTCCCCTTCATCAAGCTGATTAGCCCTGAGGATATGGTCGGCTTTAGTGAGATGGCCAGAGTCCAGTACATCAGCAAAATTTTCGATGATGCTTACAAGAGTCGCACGAGCGTTGTCGTCGTTGACAATATTGAAAGAATCATCGACTGGGTCCCTATCGGTCCTCGTTTCAGCAACACTATCCTTCAGACCTTGATGGTCTTCCTGAGAAAACAGCCTACCAAAGGTCGACGGCTGCTGATCCTTGCTACCACAACTGAGCGCGCTGTGCTCAAACAGTTGGACATCTATAACTCTTTCAATTCGGATATCATGGTTCCCAACGTGATGGATTACGATGAACTGCGTTATATCATGGAGCAGTCCGGAGCATTTGATGCCCCTGAGATCGACCAGGCTTTGGCAGAAGTTGGTGGCATCACCGAAGATAGAACTATCGGCGTTGGCGTTAAGAAGGTGCTTTTGGGTATTGAGACAGCGAAGCAGGATCCCGACAAGGTGGGCCGGTTTATCCGTGTCATCAACCGGGCAATTGAGGAAGAGCGAACTTTCAAATAGACCATTGCTTTCTCATGCGTTGGCTGTTGTATATCGAGCATAATCACATCTACAAATACTAAAGATGGTCATGGCCCTGGGGTTGACATGTACGGAATGATATATCTTTCAATGAGCCCTCGCCAAATTGTGCAAATGGTAATGCTGACACTAACGTAAATATACTCTACATAGTCAAGTTCACTCCAGCCTGAAGGTCGATGCACTTGCCGAGGGAGATCCAATCCCTAAGGGTACTCCATAGTTGAGGGCAGTAGCATTCCTAGCTTCTCCTTCTCAGCATTCGTAGATGTTTTTCGTTTCTTCCACCCATACATCGCGCAGAAACCTCCACTGGCCGAGCTGAAACCCTAGAATAAAGTCTTAATTGAAGGGATGTCAGGCTGCGATCTCAGCTATTCAAGCAGCCTATCACTAACCAAACTATAATTTTCTACTGTCTATACTCCGTAGTACATGGGCCTTTGGAGCCCAATATTGTAACACGCTTTTTAGATCAGAATATACATCCACAGCAAATACTTCGGAAACAGTCAGACCTTAAGTTTGAGCACAGTACATCATATAATTAATTAATCAATCCTGACACATCGCCTTCAGCAATATCTTCAGAGAATCTTCCATGTTCGTAACTGTGTCGCAAGAGCCATAGTGGTCTTCCGGGTTTCAGGTTGTCATGATTCAGGGGTTAATCACATTATCACCATCCACTTTATATCGACTAGTCGCATCACATTCAACTAGTCCAGGTTGACTATCGATAGCAAACCTTAATTAATTAAGACCCTTATTCTCTCTATTGCATGGTGTTCTCATCATTCTTTTTGAATGTCTGGAGGTAAACTTCTCACATGTTTACTCCAGGTCAAGTGACACGCTCGGAGTTCTAACCGTGGTTCTTTGCCTGGATACATCGTTGTACTTCGCGACTACTAGGTGATTTACAGGGCTACGACTGACGCGTACAGGAAACCAGAAACTACGCTTCTACGTGAGGAAAGACCGCCTGTTTCGCATCTACAACCTAGGCAGACTGCGAACTTGACTACGGGCATCTCGAGAACAAGCTCTACGACTTCATCGGGGGCATCAATCGCTATCTACAAAGGAGCGAATCAATGAATACTGTCTCTACGCGTCTGATGCGCTCCTCCAAACGCGTCCGAGGTGTAATTTGATGCCCAAAGTGTCCTAGTGTGCCTTAGGGCTGCAGTTTGTCCTCGGGCTCGTTCGCCCGCAAAAGCGGCAAGGAGAACGATCCAAAAAGGAGGGCGGAGCGGAGAAAAGGCGGTGCGAAGACTTCCGCTGGCGGAAGTGAAAGTGGAGGCGGCGGAATAGAGGGGGTCGTTCGCCCTGGTGCATCCTATGATCTTGGCCCATGCGGAATGTCAGGAAGGAGATCTTGATGGCTGTGCCATTCTTGACGGTCATGCATTCAGCCTTTTATCTGGATATTCAGGCTGCAGGGCGTCTGGAATATGGACCAGCGCGACACAACCCTCTGGGCGCTGAAATAGCTCGATCGTGAAGCCTGCACATTCCTTTTGGTGCGGTCCGTCGCCTCTGGAGAGGCGACGGCCGAAGCTTGCACCTGCAATCTTCTCTGTCGGCTATTAAGGGATTTCGATTATTCGCCAATTCGGGGCCTGAGAATTTCAGTCACTGCGGTTGCCGGTAGAAATCTCCAGCATCCGGAACAAGGTATCAAAGGGGCAGATGAAACTGTCAGCGCAACATGACAAGTTCGTTCATGTGGTAAACCTTCAATGTACAACAGAGTGGTCAAGCCCAC